ACTGGACCTGAGTAACAATGACCTGCAGGATTCAGGAGTGAAGCTGCTCTCTGATGGACTGAAGAGTCCAAACTGTCAGCTGGAGATACTGAGGTAAATGGTTCTCAATCAAATAAATTAATAAAATATTCAGTGTGTTTATCAAATTGTAAAGCTTGTGATGTAATTTGATATAAATACCCAGCGCAGCAGTATGTTAATTTACATGCAAGCAGCTCATGATCCAGTGTTTTCAGTGTCTCTGAGTGGCTTGGTTCACAGTAAATGCTGCTCCACACAAACTCCATCTCATGCAAGTGCTGAGAGTTTGGGTCACTCATTACATGGACTTAATGCAACATGCATCAAACATTTGCTCTTTTTTGACTGGTCATCTTAATTATTTATATAATATATATAAATTATTTTGTATTTGATAAGCGCTGTTAGACAGCTGAGGCAGACCAGCATAGACATTCAGAATTGCAGAGTGACTTACAGCAAGACTTCACTGACAATGACTGAAAGATACATCGCTTTTATAGGCAGAGGTAATGAGATAATAAGACAACTGAATGCAATCAGTAATGGTGAGACTAGTCAGCAGGTTCTGGGAAATGTAGTTCGTGAGGCAGTAACAATTTTCTGGGATGGAGTGCCCTCTGGTGACTATCAAGGGCACTCCAGCTGGTGATCGTGACATTAGGGTTCATTAGATATATAATCTTCCAGCAAGTCTGCTTGATCAGTTTCCAAAGAAGCAAGTCAAAATTATTCAGGAAAATCTAGCGTAGCGTTAGTTCTGGCAGGTCATGTTAGTCAAGCTCGCATCAGCTGACTCTCAGCTGATCCCCATCAACCTATAGGAATACGACACCTATCTAAGCATTCATATATAAGGTCCCTCAGTAGTATCAGCAGTTTTTGCATTGCTCAATAACTAATTACCCTCCTCCATCCCCAACTCCTCCTCTGTCAGTCAGGATTCAGCTTCTGATTCTCCTTTGAATCAGAGTAATTCTAAAATGTGTACATAAAGTTATTGAACTTTAACGATATCTGCAATACATTTATGTTGGTTCTGTTCTGTTTACCCTGGGGGGGTTAT